AGCCACACTGTCCAGCAGTGACTCCATCCCCAATTTCCTCTGCATCAACCTAAGGGCCTCCCTAGCACTAGGTGGTGGAGGATTGGCACCCTGCATCTTGTTTTTTGAGAACACCACATGCCTGCAAAGGCTGGGAAATGGCTTGGTGCAGCCAAAGTTCTGACCACAAAGCCAGACTTTCCCCAGTAGAGAAGAAGGAAGCTCTGAAAATTATTAGTGGTGCTTTCCTGTCATAATTACCATGGTTTAGCAGGAAGATCATTTGGTCTTTCCTCGTGATTTCACATGAAGGGAGGAGAAAAGCAGGTGAAATCCTGTGTTGAATGGAGCACTGCTCATCAGCAGGGCATTAGCCCCTGATAAGAGGAGAGTGTTTGGTGAGGGCTGTGACTACCCAGCACTCCAGTCTGACTACAAGACAATAACAGAGATGTTCCTCATCCCTCCTGCTTCTGATGGTGCTCTTCTCTCCTTCCCACTCTTCAGTTTTCCCCCTCTTTGATACTCTTCTCAAACTTTAATTCTCTCAGCATTTTCCTCCCTGCAATGGCAGCACTCTCTCCTAATTTCTCCTTTCATGGCATTTCCCTCTTATCTTCTTTGGAGCCCAAATTAATTTTGTTTTTTACCACCCCGTTTTCTTTCACCAGCTCTATTCTTCCTCTTCACAACTCAAACTCTGTTTTCCCAGGAGATCTGGCTTATCCCAGCTCTTTGAATTCAATTAATTGATCTTCATCAGCCAGTTTGCCATTGGCAAAGAAAACCAGCACGCTGACTGTCTTTGGGCTTTAACTTCTGTTTTATCCTCATTTAATTTGTGCCCTCTGCAGCTTATTGAGCCCTAATTACCTCTGCTGCCACCTCACTGTATTCAATTACAGCCTTCATCTCACTGACCTGATGTCTCTGTCCTCATCAAATCTCACCTTTCTGACTTTGCCCATTATTTTTGTTCAAAGTCAGTACCCTCTGTGGGGAACTTAGTTCTTCCAATCTTGCTTCATTTTCTTGACTCCTTCCAAGCACTTTTGCTGTACTTCCTTGCCTTCACTTCTCCAAGCTATTATGGGATTCACCAGAGCACAGACAGACCAGGCATTCAGGCAGTGGGTTCAACCAGAGTATCTTGACCTGGCTTGAGGAAAATTGATCTGTACACCAGCATCTCATAGTAAGTGTAAAAAAAAATCTCCCACACCCACAGCATAAGCCCTCAGATGCCCATACAGACCTATTTAATACATTTTTGCTAACACTTTTCTGGTGTAAATGATCCCTTTGGTGCCTGGGTACCTCCTCTCCTGCTCTTTTCATTCCTGTTCCTTTTGTCTCTTCTCCCACCATCCCATCCCACCACTGTCAGGTCATGATCCCCAGATATGCTTCTTTCCAGCATCCTGAATTTCCCATATCCTTCACTCCCTGACCTACTTTTGTGCTGCTCCTGCTCTTTTCCTTCCCAAAAATCTGGCCATAATTTGGTGCTGACCACAGCAGTCACAATTCACTCTCCCTCCACTCTCTCTTCATTCTTCTTTGTTTCTTTATGCCTGATTTTGTTAACTCCTCTGGAAAGGCTGATGCTTTTCTTGTAGCTAACATCCTCTCCCTTTGCCCCATTCTAATTTTTACCTTTATTTTCATATTTGCTCTCTCCCATGATGGTGATTTCTGAGTGATTTATGGGCTGTTGTTTGGAAGTGGAGATGGTTCACCACTTGAAAAACTCTCAGCCACAACACAGAAATGCCCCTGAAAGTTCATTTCTCACTGAGTTGCTCCTTCAAAGTGCTGGGGTTTGACCTGTCCAGCCTTTTGTGCCTCTTGTTGTGAAGCTCCTTCACATGGCTAAGTTGGGCTCTGGGTGATGTCTGTGATTCTGTCCTTGCCCACCAGCAGGTTTCTGGTGAGTGCTTGTATCCCTGGGGGTCACCTGCATCAAACTTCATCTCTGATGACAATATTCCATGGTCCATGGTGCCTCTGATATCTCCTAATTTCATTCAGCTCACTAGTGCTTCTTTAAAACAAGAAATTCTGGCAACTGCTGCCATAGTGCCCATATCAAGGGTGTCATGCAAGAAGGTTCTGGGCATGAGGATTTGCTGCAGGAGCTCCAGCCTGTTAAAAAAAGTCCCCATTCATGTGGTTTCTTTCTGGTTTTGTAATCCATCTCATAGGTGAGGGACAATTACCCTTTCTAAGCTGTGAGTCCCAACCTCATCAGTCAGGGCTCTGATTCCTCCCAGTGTTCTGATTCCCATTTCAGCTCTTTTCTCAGTTGGATGTTTGACCTCATCAATGATCCCAGAAGCTGCCCTGCTCTGCTTTGGCTGAAATTTCCCTGTTCCTCACAGTGCTGGTGCTGAGATGTGGCCTTGAGGAAATATTCAGACCATGAGCATTGAGCTGTACATTAAATACACCCACCCCAATCCTTTGCTGTTCACAGGGAGCCAGGCTCCCCTGTCCTGCAGCTGAGCCTCCAAAAACGTCTCCAAAAATGACTTTGATCTTTCCTCTCCCACTTGAGATCTATTGCTCTGGGTTGGCAGGAGGGTGGCTCCTGAAATTTTATGCAAATTCCCCAGTCATTGGTGCAGCCTCAGATGAACATTTCCCTGCAAGGGAACAGGCTGGGAGGCTTCCCCTGAGTTATTTTCTCACCTGGGGCTTGCTCCAGAGGCCATGAGCAGAGTTACTGCTGGATCTCTCACTCACAAAGGAGTGAAGCATGCAGCCCAGGTTTCTTCTCTGACCTTATGTTAGAAGAGAAAGTGCTTTTCAGTACTTTTTCTTTTTGACATGACTGTACCCCTTTGTATTCTTCCTATTCTTCCTGAACATTATGCTCCCTTCACAATCCCCTTGCTAACCACAAAATTCCATTTTTCCTTCCTCCCTGTTTTACTCTGCTGTGTCACTAGAGAGATAAATGAGAATAAAACAAAATGAAGTGTAAATTTGGGAAACACAGGGCTGTTTTGATTATCTGGTTGCTTTTGTGCCATCATTGAAAATTCTATTTCTGTGTAAGAAATTCTTTTAAATCAGAGGAGAACTTTCTGCCTTTACTGCTCATTGAGATGTTTTGTGGTACACACAGGTACAATAATATGACAGAGCTTCAGGTATGCTGAATGATTCCCATTTATCCCAAAGCTTTGCATGAAAGCAAATTATTATTAAATCATTGAACAAGTCTCTTTCTAAAGCTCCCAGAGCAGGCAGTCTAAACCCAATCCCTTTCCAGCGTACAATGAAATGAGATCTTCAGCCCTATTGCAATATTTATCCCAAGGCATCCCATGGAACTACAGAGCTTAATACTGCAAGGAATTACAGTAGCATTTTTTATCATGTCCAGCTTAAATCTCAGCCTTGCTTTCATTTACTTACCTTTAAATTCAGTGCATTTACTCTTCAAATGTGCACTGTGGCTATTTCTACCTGGTAAAAACATAGATAATGTGTGTGCCTACAGCTTGTTGTAAATGTGTACAGAAGCACATTATGGGGTCAGATTTCCAGGAGACACAAACCAACACTATTTCTTTAATGTGTTTGTAATATCAGCCAACTTTCACTGCTTAGAACTATTTACAGCTATTTTCCCCTTTACACAATGAACGGGTTTCAAGGTCACAGTTACCAATAAAACAGAAGAATTGAGTCAGACTGGAGTGTCTGCACCTACTGTAAGATGAATGAACTATTTAAAATTGGTGGTGGTGCCACAGGCCCCAGCTGACACATCAATTGCTGAGTGTTAAGTGTGTGGGCTTGGGAACTTTGTGTCTGGAAGGAGGAATTCAGAGTTTTACTGCCTTAAGGGTGTGCTGCAAGTGAAGCAGAATGATGTGATGATGATGGCACTGGGTTACCCAAAGTGTTTTGTGATTTGGGGCACATTCTTCACCTGGACACACTCTGATCACTGGGGAGAAATAAAGGTGCTGCTCCTCTCCTCTGTACTGAGAACCTTAGAGCAAAGCAGCTTTTATTCTTTAATATAAAGCTCTCATTGAGAAAGACAGGCTGGATCTGCAGGGATGCATTGCCTGTGGAGCTGGGCACTAGAGCTCCTCTGATTTGATGATGGATCATAAACAGTCCCATCATTTTTTGGGTTCCCAGGGCAAACAGGCAGAGGCAAATCTCTCTATTTCCAGGAATGCTAGGGTTTTTGTGAAATCTGCTCCTTCCCTAGCCTGGCTAAGGGAGGCTCTTTTATGTGAAAGTGCCTTTTCCCTCCACACTCCTGTCAGTTTTCTTTCAAAGCTATCTCAAAGTGGTAATTTGGGAAATCAAGCCTAAAGTTTCCAATTCCTCTGTTGACAGACCTCTTTCAGAGTGCAGGTCACTTCTTTAATGGTGATTCACTTTTTGCACTCTGAGCAATAGGTTTCCTGTTTCATTAACTCAAACTTGTCTCAGAATGAGACCTTGTGTCCTGACGTGGTGGTGGAGTTACAGCAGTGAGCAAACCCCAGCCTATCTCCTCTCATTTAGGGTCGCTGCCGTCCTTTGGAGGAGGTGAAGGGGCACATCTTCTGCATTTTAGGCATCTGCCATGCCTTTGGACAGTTGCTGCATTTTCTATCCCGTTTCCTATTAGGGTGGGTGCATGGGAGGGCACTACAAGTGCGTTGAGAATGGGGTTTTACTGCTGGGATTGAGCTGGGAGCAGCAGCTGCTTCTTTGTCTGGAGCTCGGGCTGGGGTGGAGACAAGATGGGGAAAGTGGGTGTTTGGAGATGCTAAGGATAAAATGGTGAGGAAGGGAAGTGGTCGTTAATCAAGGAATGTGGTCCTCCATGTAGAACTCCTCATGAAGAGCATTGCACAGGGAAAGGGATTGTAATAAATGTGAGAAAAATAGCTTTATTTTTGAATAGGAACTAAAGGAGCATATGAAAGCCACTGATGAGTGAGAAGAAAACACTTCAATCAATTTTTTGTTATTTGTATTCATTAGCTATGTCTGACTATGTCTTGGGATCGGGCAGGGATTCTGCCTTGCGTTTGTGCTTGGTGGGCTGCAAGGACCTGGAGCCAAGACCTCATTTCTCAAGAATCCCTGTGGCGGAAGGACACCTTCATCCAAGCAGGCAAGACCTGGAGATTTTGGGTATCTCATGTTCTGTGTCCAGCTGAGAGGAGTTTGGATGGCATCACCACATACAGGTGAGTTCCAGGTGCCCACTCTGATCTCCCTCCCTGGCTTCTCTTTGCAGGTGGCTCAGAACAAAGGGGTGAGTGAGTCAGTTTAGAGCTTTTATTTTCCAGTGCTGTCACCAATAATGATTGTAAAAATTTAAAGGCTAACATGCAGTGGAAGAAGCTCTTCCTGAGAGCTTTGCTCCAGGACCAGAGGTAATTTCTCTGAGGCCGATAATGTTGAAAATTAATAATTCCCCATTTGAATTAATTAATGTATTTTGATTGTCTTAGTATTAGGAGTGTGATGAAGAAAAAGTGGATGTGGGGGAGGTGAACCCAATTAAAATGTAATTGCTCCATTCAATTCACAATCTGTGAAAAGAAGATTTTATAATTAAAAAGAAAAGTAGGTTTGATGATTTCCACCACCACATTTGGAGTCCATCTATACAGCAACAAAAAGAAATTCAAAATGTTTGTGTCTGGAAAGAGCATCTGGTATGTACCCCTCCTTTCTGACTTGCTAAGAGTTTATTAATCACTTACATGAGAATATAAAAAGCCATTCAAAAGAAGAAAATATGTAATGATCCTTTACTGCCACTTCTAATACTGGAAATAAGTAATGTATCATAGTGGGGACCCTCCTCCAGCATGGTAAGGTTTATAAGCCTGATGAAATGACTACCTACTCACTAAATCCCATCTGTTCCAAGTACTCCGGGAAGCTCTGTGTTGCACTAGATTTTGGCAAACAGTTATATGAGGTTCAGCCCCATATTAGCATTTTAATTGCTGCCTGATTGCTTTTATGTTGCAAAACTCAGCTCGAAACAGTGTGTAAGTTGCAATTAGTTTTTACTGTGTGATTCATTAGCTCCTCTAAAGCATGTCGTGCTGCAACATTTGGAAGGTAATTTGCTAGAAACATTAGCGCTGGCATTCAGGGCTGGGGAGTGGCACTGGAAATGTGGCAGTCCTGCCTTTACAAACAGAGCCCACGTTTGCTGGCAGGATATCTTCTCTCAAATGAGACTGAGCTAACAGCTGCAGATGGAATTGTCTCACAGTGGCAGGTTTGTCATGTAAAAAAGCATCTTGGTCATGCAGCCTGCTCTCTGTGGGTTCACATCTGCCTGGGATCTGGGGAGAGTTGGTGGAATGGACACAGGTGGGAGAATTCCCTTTCTGGGGGTTTTCCTGGTTGGTGATGTTCCTCTGGGGGATTTTCTGATGTCTTCTTTGAGCCTTAAAATGTCACTCTTCTTTTGGAGATGCTGTCGTGTTCACATTGCTTGTGATGGGGAGGGTGTGTGTGTTCAAGTTACATTAATCAGTTTTGCCTTGGGAAAGGGGAAGAAATTAAGCACCATCTTTACAGCTCTGCTACCTCTATCATCCTATATTCCTCAGGCAAAAAACAGGTATTTTAACTGGGTTTAAAACCAGCTAAGACTTAGGCCCATTCTGTTAAGAACAGCGGTTCATTTTGCCTTCTTCCATCTCTTTTGGAAATTGTTGTCTCTGGCTGAAAAAAAATCAAGAAAAACAAATAGTGCATGAGGACACGATCAGTGAATTTTCTACTGTTACATGGTGTGACAGCTTTTTTGAGTTTCCATGTCAGTCATGTTATTTTATCTTCCATGACTGCATGAAACTGTCCTGGAAAGGTTGTTCTGTATGTGGCTGCTGGCAGTCCAAATTCTAAATCCTGGCTGTGAATGGCCTGTCTGGGATGCACCACACCACACCTCACACTTCAGCACTCACTGCTAGCACCTCTCTCAAGGTGTAAAGCTTAAAATGTAGCTTATGATTTCAAGGAGGAATCTGAATTTTTCTTGACTGAATAAAAAATTTTCTTGGCATGAATAAAAACTGGATGCAGAAAACAATAGCTAAAATATTTCCCCTCTGAGCAGTTTCCCAGAAGATGTTCTATGTTTCCTTTCTTCTGTTTTCACAAACTCTCTGAAGATTTGAAGTCAAACTTTTGTGCATCTTGGCTGTCAGAAGTTTTGCATTGGGAGAATTTGCCAAGTGAAGAAAACCACTTCTCATTCCTGCAGAAATACATTTAAGTCAAATTAAACTGGCACATTTCTAATTATACAACAAATAAGGTGAAATAGAGAGTTTCAATACTTCACCTCAGACTGTAACAACTCACTCAATTTTCTAGCATATGCTTTACACCTGCAGGAGTCAAAAGCACCTGCAGCTGTTTAGTCTCCCCTGTTGGTTTGGTGTTAAGTGGTAGCTTCCTCCCAGCCTTGATTTTCATCTCTCATTTTCAGCATCTTGCTGCTCACACCAAATTGTAATGCAGAGTGTGATCTGTGCTGGGAGATTTGAGATGCATGCTCTAGTTGTCTGAATTATTCCATGATTCTGATTATGAAATAAGGTTTTTTTTTCTCATTTCTTTCAGCTCAAGCTGTGCAGTGTGTTCTGTGTTGTGCTAGGACAGTCTGGCTGCTGAGAGCAGGAGTGCAGAGGGCAGCTGCCAGGTAAAGGTGTGTGACTCCAAAGATTTTATGTTTGGTATGAGTCAGAAATGCAGGATTTATGCTTCATTTTGTGTTTCTGCTGCCTGGAAAGTGAAAGCCATGGGAGGTGTGCTGACAGCAGCAGAGGTAATGTCAAAGTGGGAAAGATGGAAATCTTTCTTCTGCTGCCTTTTCCCATTTATATAGTTTCTAGAACATGGAGCACAACCAGCCAAAATCCTCCCTGAAGGTTTAGTTGGTAGTCAGTGTTGGGCTGCTGTACCAGCACTGCCTGTGAATAATTTCTGAATTTCTGTGGAGTGGGAGCAGGTGGGATTTCCCAAATAGGAGTTTGCCTTGCTCAGGTTTGAGGACTGAGTCCCACTGACAGGTGTAAAGCAGCTGCTCTGACTGCAGTGAAATGTGAGTGACTTTGCTGTGTGTGTTTGGAGTCTTGCTCCAAATATAACAGTCCATGAAGAAAGGGCCAGGAAAATCAGGAGGACAAATTGCTCTGCTCACACACAGCTGGCCCACATAGCTGGGCAGGCAGGGAATGTGGGGAAGGGAAAATGAGATTTAAATGGTGCAATTGCTTCTTTGGGGTCTGACATGCAGGAAAGTGGGCACTGAACTCTGCTGGTCCTGTCTAATTGCCCTGGATTTAGTCCTGTAGTGTGACCCAGGCTCTCCTGGGGACGGGGATTATTCAGTTCCCAGCAGAGCTGATCTCCAGGAGTGTGGCTGAGACTTGGGTATCATGGAAATGTAACCATGAAAATACACCTCCTCTGCTGCAGTAGAAATATTTTTCTTCAGCCCCACTTAAATGGGTTAAAATGATAAGCTGAGCTGGAAAAAAGTCCAAAAGTCTGTGTTACACCTGAGTAGGGGGGTGTGTGTGTTAGTAACTGAGAATTACATGAGGCATTGTAGTGATCAAAATTTACTGCAGAGGCAAATCCTTAAACCAGAATCAATAACATCTTTTTTGGACAGTATGATTGGAAAGAGTTTTTTTCCACAGTATTTTTTTTTCCTGTATAAGCTTTAAAGGAAAGTGGTGACTTTTATACATTTATATTCAAGAAATAAGAAAATAAATTAAAACTTTTCTCTAAATGCAAAATTATTGATTTTTTTTTCTTTTTTTGATCCACCTTCCCCAAACATTTTTTGGTCATGAAGGGCAGAATGGGAGGGTTGTCAAAATTTTTTCATCCCAGCACTTTGTGTGTGGTATTTCATTTCAGAGGTTTCTTCCTTCTCTGTCTGCTCTTAGAGCTGACCTCAGAGATTTCCTTTGCCCCTGAAAAAAAAAAAAAAAAAAAGAATTTTGGAGATAAGGCATTGCTTTGTGCCACCAATGGGTAAAAAGGGGAATAAAAGCTGATGACAATATAGGTCTTGGTACATACTTAAAAAAAATATGGCAGCCTAGTGCTGCTCAGATTTCCAGCTTTCTTCTCCTATTCCTTTTTCTTTTACAAGCACAAGCTGCAGGTGGGGGAAGTTTGAATGAAGTTGGCAGAGGGATTTTGTGTAAGACTCTGCTGCCTTTAACACACCCCATGTACCCCTGGCAGTGTTAGCTAGCACTGCTGCTTCTGTGAGACTTTTGATGGTGACATTGTGGTCTGCTGAAAAGGCTCTGAAATCCTGTGGAGAGACAGATTTTCCATTTCACTGTGTTTTATAGATTGTCTTTTGCAAGTGTGTTTTACTCTGGTGGAGGAATGAAAAATTTGACTTCTTTGTGACTCCATATTTCAATCGCATGGCATTGTGAGGAGTGAGGGCAAGAGTCCCTAGGCCAGCTTTTCAAAAGGAAAGTGGGTGCAAAATGTACATGGGAGAAGAAGATTTGATCCTTGTTTGGGTGGCTGTGGGCTGGAGAAGGGGAGATTAAGGCAGGCCTGGAGTCAGGCTGGCATGGGTGCAAGACAGTGCCTGATGTCTGCTCTCCTCTGCCAGGTGCAAGGAGTGGAGATGTCTTCAAAAATTCAGTGTAACAGCCAGCCTGATGTTGACAGGGGCCAGCAGGAATCTCCTGCTCTCCCAGAGGAAATGGGAGCAAAGGAAATTGCACCTTAAAGGAGAATTTTTCTGCAGGAGTGACTGATCAGAGACGGCATAAAGAAAGTGTGTAAGAAACCCCCACATGCATCAGGCTTTGGAGTGAGACCAGCCCTTTTCTCTGAGGTGCCACACAAGTGCCAGTGATGGCAAAAGCTGGTGGTAAGACAAAAATAAAAATATGGCAGTCACTTCCAACCTATCAAGCTAGCTGACATCAATGGTGCAGCAGATCAGTCAATGGTTGATTTATTTATCCCAGTATTTCTCTGGCACACCCAGCCACTGTTTTTGGAAAAGGAAAACATTTGTGTGTTTGCAGATTGTAGGAGTTGATTTGTCAGTGGAGCTGCTCAGGATGTTGGTTAAGTGAAAAATAATTTTGTGTGTTTTAGTAAATGCAATTCATCAGAAGCTGTGCAGATTAACTGGGTAGAGCTACACTGAACACCATGGCATCTGCAGATAAAAAAATGATAAATTATGATATTACTCCTGCTCTATGATTCATTGGGAGGAACTCAGAAGCCAAGCATTTTCTTCAAAGAAATTATTCAATGAAGACTGAGCAGTGACTATAAAACAACAAAACACCTCCTTTGCAATGGTTTTAAATATTGTTGTACATAAAATCTAATTTATATGGTATTAAAGGCTTTTCCTTGGACTACAAATCATCTTTGAAAAATGCATCCTGTAAACAGTTCATCAGATGCATCTCAAATACTTTTATGATTATTAGTAAATGGAATTAGAGCACCTTGTAGTAGTTTTATTACATTTTGCACAGCTGTAATGGATTACAGTGAGGCTCTCACTGCTGTAGCTCAGGCTGCATAGCAGCTTCTGAGTCAATACCTATTTTTCACAGATTCTTTGTTTTTTGGGTAGATACGCCACTTTGCTCTGCAATGATCCATGCCTGATGCCAGCTGAGAGTGGGAGCAGTCAGATGGAGCTGCCTCTGCTGGTTGAGAGAGCCCATGATGTGTGTAAATGAGTGGCCTTTGCCACCTGGTTTTGTTTATTGCTTGGTCTGGCAGGGGGAAGGAGATCTGCTGCACCCCAAGGAGGTGGCAGAGAGGGATGGATTCACCCTAGGCCATGTTGGTGTTAATTGTGGGGTGTGCAGGGTGCCACCAAGCTCCCATAACACACAGTGGTGCTAAAGGAGCCACTCCAAATCTGTGTCATTCTGGGATGGCATTTGGGGCCCATCTGTGACAACACACAGTGCCCAAAGCAGGGCTTGGCCCTGACTTTTATGGGGCTGGATGTGGCCCCCTGTCTGCAGCTGGGCTGTAGAGAAATGAGTGTGTTCAGGGCATGAATTATTTCAGCTAAGGTGCCAAGCTTGTGTATAGTTAGTGTGCAACATCAATATCTCCATTGGTATCCAGAGGTAGCTTGGGTGGACACAAATTTGGTCAGATGAAATTCAGGTGTTTAGTCTAAACTGCTTGTGTGGGGTTTTCCAACAAAACAACAGGAAAACAGGGCATGGTTCATCCTACCCTCATTGAAACCTCAACATGGGATGGATTTATAGAACCAGTAAGGCTGGAAAAGACTCCTGCTAACCCAGCACCACCATATTCACCACTAAACCATATCCAGGTGTCACATTGATGTGTTTTATGAACACTTCCAGTGATGATGGTTCCAGCGTGTCCCTGGGCAGCCTGGTCCAATGCTTGGCAACCCATATAGTGAGGACATTTTTCCTGAAACCCATCCAAACCTCCTCTGGTGTGACTTGAGGCCATTTCCCCTCATCCCTGGCATCTACATGTGCTCTCTACTGACTGCAGACAAATCCTGGGTGAGTTTAGGCAGCAGAGCTTACCTGGGGCCAGCTCAGGTCACACAGGATAAATCTGAGCTTTATAGGCCTATAAGAAGATTTCTGCTGCCTAAACTCTGCAAGTTTTATCCAACTGCATACCATGTAGTAAAGAATACGAATTCCTCCAGATCTTGTGCATTTTTGTCCTTAACTTGCCCTAGTTACAGCTCTGTGCCAAGGCCCATCCAGAAACTGGTCTTGGATTCTGATTTATAGAGATACTTTGAAAATATAAGCCATTATCTAAAAAATAAAGTATCTTATCTCAGTAGTGCCTGGCCCAACAGCACTGGTGAAGTTCTCACTGCTCCCATGATTTCCTTGTTCACAAAAGGACCCCTGTGATGAGTGTTGAAGTAAAGCACCAGCACATAAGTGCTTTGCTGAACAGGGCTTGATTAAAATACATACTTTAGGGCCTTACTTAATTATGTGTTGGGGACTGCATAATTGGCACAGTACTGAAGATGATTTAATAGCTTTCTTCTGATAAATCTGTACATGCACAGCAGTCCTGAACTGTAATTTAGCATGATAATGCCAGCTTCATCAAGGCCTGTGGGAAAAAGCAGAAAGGCGTTGGGCTCTCTCTGTGCTTGTGAGAGGACTGAATTAGTGATTGCAGCCTCTGATCTGATAAAAAGCAGCTTCAGTGTATTTTTCCACTGAAATAGCTTCTCACTTGAGCAGAATGAAGGAGGCTCTGCGCTGCTGGCAGAGACTGAGCTCCCTAAGGTTGTCAGGTAGATTTTGAACCACTGGTCAGAGTCAGGCTAGCATACAGTGACACAAGATAAATTCACTACAGGACTTGAAGATATTATAGTGCTCTCAGTAAGTTCTAAATAGTAGTTCAGTGTCTGATGGGAGACACTAAAACTTGGTGTAGTAAGAGTCTGAGCCCTCTGGTCTGTGTTTTCAGGGTTAATAGAAAGCTACATCAAGGGAAATCTTAATCTCAAACTACCAAGGGCAATATAGATTGGATATTAGGAAGAAGTTTTTTACAGAAAGGGTGATAAAGTTCTGAATAAAGTTCACATCCAGGGAGGTAGTGGAGTCCCCATCCCTGGGTGTGTTTAACAAAGCCTAGATGTGGCACTGGGTGCCAGGGCTGAGTTGAGGTGTTGGGGCTGGGTTGAACTCAATGATCTTGAAGGTCTCTTACAACCCAGTGATTCTGTGAATTCTACAACACTACCAGAAATTTCACAAAATGTGCATATTTAATAAGCATCCTTCCTTGAGAACGAGTTGTGACTGCTTGCTTCCTCTCTTTGTTGCAATACAGAGGGGAAAAGACAAACTTGTGCTTCAGATCCAAGCATGGAGAGGCAGGAGACACCCATGAGGAAGGTGCAAGCTGTGATCTAAAGGCTGCACAGGTCACTCTCCAAACTGAGTCCTGGCTGTGGCTGATGTCTCTCCCAGCCAAGGACAGGCTTTACAACTTCTCCCTGCTGCTGCCTTTCTCCTCAGTCATCCTGCAGGGCAGCTCCCCTGTGTCTGTGCTGGTGGGATCATTGCTGAATAAAGCTTGTCAGATGTGTTAAGTTGGGAAGAAATGTGTTTTTCTTTGCAGCTGAGAAGGCATTTAATTTTATATGTTAATTTTCCTGTGTGTTTCTGGAGCCCAGAGTGTGCTGTGCTGTGTAGTGCAGAGAATAGCTTGTGGAATACTGATACCTCTGTGTCCAGGGCATGCAAGGTCTTCTCTACCTTGAAGAGTACCTCCAAGAAGGAGACAGATGAAGCAAAAAGTCATGAGATGTTTAAATTTGTTAAGAAAATTGGCAATTTGTCAAGCAAATCCAATCAAAGCTTTTGAACATACATCATAAAATCATGAAAGATTTGCTCTGAAGGGTGAGTTTCAACCAGCCAGTGCTTCACAGCTCATGGAAAGAGGGGTTCTGCTTGCCCTGAGGTCCAGCTGTGGATATTTGCCATGGGGTTTATCCCAGCAGGCCACATCCAAGGCTTTTTTACGAATGATTTTTCCATTGGGGAGAGATGATATCTTCAGCAGATATTTCTTTACTGTTCATTTATCAGAAATGTTAAAAAAATCCAAGTTCTGCCCCCTCTAAAGGTTATGGAAATATGCACTGGAGGTTTTTACTGCAGGCATTTTATTATTCTGCAGCAGTCTTCCCACAAAATGGTCGCTTTCCTCACTCAAGCTTATAGTGAAAATATTTGATTTATTTTCAATAAATCTGAAGGTCATTAGGTAGTGAGTTATTTGGTTTATTTTTCTGGTGGCTTCTCCAGTGCTATTCTTGCACTGGGTTTGTACATTGGTAGGACCAATGCATTAGAAGAGGTTAAATAGCTTTTGTTTATAAACATGCTGCTGACATAAATATCTGGATATCATTAAGTGGCTGCTCCTCTTCACCAGAGTGCTAAATATCATGCAAAACTGAAATAAATGTTACAGCAGGGAACTCTAGGGAGCAGTAAGAAAAATAGGAGAACTGTAATTTATGTTTTACATGATTCTGTTTCCCATGAAATTATCTGGTTTTATAGTCTAAAAAGAGTGATCTTGTCCAAAGGGGAGGCATATTTTACTAAATTTTGCCTTACCTTAAATCAGGCCTTATTGTTCCTTGAGCAAGGTGGAACAGATGTTAGAACAGCCTAAAAGAAAAAATCTCTGACAGTCCCTTGAAGGTAAGCAAAGGACAAGCAAGTGTTCAATGGAATATAAGAAATGGGAAATAATTTTCAAGGGTTGCTTTTTAGGGGTAAAACCCCCTAACAATAACCCAAAAAACCTGAAGAACAATTGCAGGGGGTTCGGGAAGGGTGAAAGCTACAATCTAAGGAGCTGTGGTTGCTCTGTGACTCCTCCATAGCCAAGAGAAGCTCAGCAGTACAGACTCAATCACCATCAGAGTATCTACAAGAGAGACAGATTGTGTTTGTAAGATCCTTCCATGGGTCGGAAAGGGATTTTGGGATAATAGCTTAGCTCTAGCAAGTTCCATCTATGGATAGAGGGAAGTGTTTGGGCTCTTGAGAGAGTTCTTGGGTTCTTGGGTGAGTTCTTTGGCTCTTGAAACAACAGGAGTTGCATGAAGGTGTGTAGGGAGGGCACAGGGATGTCTCCATGTCCTTCCCATCTCACAAAATTCCCTGGGTCCCAGCATTCCCCATGATTGCATCTATCAGCAGGAGCACACAGGATGAATGGCAGGCATCTAAATTTAATGAAGGGTGTACTGCAAACAAAGTATGAGGCATATAAAGTTGTTCAGAGCTAAGGAACTAATAGAGAATGACAAAACTTCTGGGAATAGACAGAGATGA